CAGCCATTTCTGCAAGAATTTTCACTGAACAAAATATTCTACATAGCCAATTTTGTTTTTTCCACCACTATTTTATCATAGGTCTAGATGACTTACCTATTACTGAACACTTAACTACTGCCTTCAGCTAAAAAACATTAGCAAATTTATTGAACGTATACATCATCCACACTTTTCATGATTTAAACACTGCTATTGCAGCCAGCTGCCGGTGGCTCACGCCTGTAATCCTAGCTACTCAGGAGGCTAAGATCTGAGGATCGAGGTTCAAAGCCAGCCTGGGCAGTCCGGGAGACTCTTATCTCCAATAAACCACAAGAAAACCAGAAGTGGCGCTGTGGCTCAAGTAGAGCACTCGCCTTGAGCTGAAGAGCACAGGGACAGTGCCTAAGCCCAGAGTTCAAGCCCCATGACTGACCAAAATAAAACAAAAAAACAAGAACAAAAAAACAAAAAAACCCTGCTATTGCAGAAATAAGCTGTTGCTTTTCCTATCTCTCTTTTGAAGTCTCAATATTCTAATGAATATTAGATATTTTGTTTTAATTTTTAGTTTCATATTGCATATAATTAAATTATATAACAATTATACATGTATTACATATATATACACACACATATATATTTATCTCCCAGATAAATCTAAAAGGATGTGGTACAATAGAATGAAAAGAAGCACTTTTTTTCTCTTTTCTTTTTCTTCCATTGTGACTATCAATAAAAACTCTTAAGCAAGCTCTGTGCTTGCTTTTGAGACAGGAATGTAGAAAGAAAACTTTGAGTCTGTTTTCAATTCCACAAAAGTGACTGGAAGGAGAAGCGAAAGAAGCACAAAAGATGAGCAGAATACATAAGTACCCTAAAGCAGGGTTCTCTAGCTCAACCCCCAAGGCTCCACAAAGCAGCACTCCTCAACTTCCAGGTCTTCTCATTCCCATACCGAATTCTAATAGCCTGGGTAAGGCAGTATTCAGCTAAACACCAGGCTGGGAAGCAAACTGATTATCTTTTTTTTTTTTATCCCTACAATAACCTGAGGCTTGAGGCACATAAGGTTGAGTAACTTGTCCAGAATGGGTCACAGATAAGTGGTAGTCTGACCAGAAACCCAGAATCTCTATTCTATTCACCACCAGAAACTACATAGCCTCCTCTCTTGCAGATTCTAAAATTTCACTAATATTTGTTGGTACAAGTTAAAACAAATATGATGGGAACTGCTCAAACTCATCAAATAATCCATACATTGAAGACTGAAGGAGAAGCTGGGAAGGTGGCTCAGTGGTAGAGTGCTTGCCTTGCATGCATGAGGCCCTGCATTTGATTCCTGAGCACCACGTAAGCTGAGGGGCAGTGCCCAGGCCCAGAGTTCAGGCCCCACAGTGGACGCCCGGGTCCCCCCCCAAAAAAAAATAGACATCTTTTGGGAATCACTGATCTAGAACAGCACTTCTAAATCAACAGACAACTTTCTGCTGAACTTAAAATTTTCAAAGTTTTTCCAGCTACCAACCACTGCAATTTTCCATAGCACTTTTCAAAAATAAAAGTAGCTGTTTGCTTCTAGAATAGCAAACTCAAACTCTCTGAGAGTTTGCCTATTGCTTTTACTCTTGAAGGGGGCCAATCCAGAAAAGATAATGCACCTCTTAAAGAAATCCAAGCTTCAAATACTTAGAAAAGTAGAGGGCCAATCTCCATGACTGTCCTCTTCATTTAAGAAGGTTAAAGATCATACTATCTAATTAGTACTACCTTAAAAGAATTGTCTAAATTTTAGATAAAATTGTCTAAATTTTAGATAAAAACATTACACAACCTAATTTTTTCTTACATAGGTCACATACAAGAAAATATTAGGTCAAAGAAGGTTATGTTTTAAAGCAATAAAAAACGCTTAAATGGCTCAACCTGAAGTATTAAATATATTTTTGATAATTATATGCTAATTAAAACTTATTTATAAAGATTTATAATGAAGTATAGTTGGCAAATAAATTATGATTCCTTCATAATCTTAAGGCTTGCAGAAACTTGATAATATTTACTATGGTAATGACTTTAGATTTCTTAAATAACCATCTCAATTAAGAACAAATTGGCCAATCTGTGAACATGAAGTACTTAAATACATCAAATCACTGCCATCAAGAGTTTTAATTGTTCTTAATGGGAGCCAGAAATCAAAATAGAAAATCATTTTGGATTTCTTTTGTCATATGGTCTCAAATTCTTTTTTAATTCCTACTTTAGTAGGTATCTCTATCTCATCATTCTATAGGTATTTTATACAATAAATTCCAAATAAAATTTTTACTTTGAGAGAATAATGTAATTCACAAAGTGTGATATAAATCTTTTTTAGAATATTAAACTTTTTCACAACCAAGAATGAACTGTTTCATTCTTTCCAATAATTTTTTTTCAATACTAGGATAAACTCAGAGCCTTGAGTATGCTATTATACACTCTATCACCGTACTACACGAGCAACCCAGAGCAAAAATCAAAAGGAGAGGACTAGTGATGTGGCTCAAATAGTAAAGTGTATTCCAGCAAATGTAAGATCCTGAGTTCAAACCCAGTACTGCCTCTCCTCACATAAAGTAATAATTAGAACTAAACACTTAAATCTAAAATAAGCACAGCAAGAGGGACAGTGCCCAGGCCCCGAGTTCAGGCCCCACGACCGGACCCAAAATAAATAAATAAATAAGCACAGCAATTAATTTTATTAAATGTTCAACCCTAACCCAGGATTTGCCCTTTCTTTGTCTTTTAGCTTTAAGGAAGTTTTTTACCTCTCAAAACTTGGTTGAGCTGGGCACCAGTGGCACATACCTGTAATCATAGCTACTCAGGAGGCCGAGATCTGAAGATTTGAAGATTGCCTGGGTAGGAAAGTTCATGAGACCTTATCTCCAATTAACTACCTAAAAAGCCAGAAATATAGCTGTGGCTCAAGTAGTAGAGTGCTAGATTTCAGCATAAAGCTCAGGGACAGGACCTTGAACCCGAGTTCAAGCCCCAGGACCAGCGCACACATACACATACACACACACACACACACACACACACACAATCTTGTTGAAACTCTATCTCAGTCTAACCATTTAAATAAAGGTACTTGGATCAAACCTCTAAAGAACTTTGGAGTCTCTCTTACTTACATGAGTAGGGATTTGGGAATCATGAGACCTAAGGTTAAATCTATACAGTAGTGTGAATCCACACAAAGTATTTAAGACCTATGTCCTTTTGTTGTTAAATTACAGTTGTCACATAGGGGAGGATAATTACCCCTTAAGAAACACATAAAATTTCAGAATGGTCTTTTCAGACCAACTATATGTTAACATATTTTAACATATTCTCCAAGTTTACACACGAAATATATAAACACTCCACAAATTCTTTTTGGAAAGATGAATTCATGATATAAAAGGAAGTAATATGGGGAAATGTTGTTTAGATCAAAGATATGATAGCTTTTGCCTAAATGTCTTATAAAATAAACTACCACATAGTAACTGTAATGCCTAATTTTAATTTCTTTTAAAGATGTTAGAAGTTTCATAGTTGATGTCTTAATGGAAAATTAATCATTTCACCCTTAGAGAAATATTATTACATGTTAAATCCTTGAACATTTACACCATTACCGAGGTCATTAAAAGCCATTAGATGGTAAATGGGAAAGTTGTATACAGTAGTTTATTATGGCTGAAATTCAGCTATCTTCAAAGAGTTAAATTTACCTAGCTCAAAATAAAATATTGTAACAATAAATACAGTAAAGGATTACAAACACTTTATTCTTAAAAACACCTATCTTTAAGATCATCTTAAGATACAATCCTCTTCATATAGACATTTTACTTTCTTCTTCTCAAGAGAAACAGAATGAACGTGAGGACAAAATTTGGCAAGTATATATTAGAGATTTACAGATCCAAAAAAAAACTTTTCCTATGCTTTGAAACTTTTCAAAATACTTTGCATATGCTTTATATGAATCATTGATTTATCTTCATCATTTGATCAGAAGTTTTGTGAACTTTGTTTCTCCAAACTGTTGTGTATCTATTAGCTAAGTGAAGTTAGTATTAACCAGGTCCAGTGAGATTTGTAATTCTGGCCAGAGATGCCAGCAAATGCTTTTTACATTTTATCATTTAATATTTTTTAAACTACTAACATGGAAGTCTTTATATTCACCAAAAGATTTTATATTTAAGCATTGTTTCGGCTCAGTTTCTTTGACAAAGAAACACAATCAAGAGATTTCTAAAATCGAGAACCTAAACCTCCAATGATTAAGAATCATTGTAAATAAACTTTTAAAAAATCTAATTTAATTTAGTTCTACTAAAATAATTTCAAGTTTACAAATGACTTTAGGGAGCTGTACTTTTTAAGGAAGCACACGAGGGACGTTTCTTTTGATTATAACCCCACTAACCTTTGATTTTCCACAAGAAAAAAAAAATTACAACTTTGATTTGTTTTTGTTGTGTGCCTATGTGAGTGAGCATCTGTGTGTGTGAGCGCCCGGGAAAGAGAAGAAAAAGAGGTATAATGAGTAAATGACAGTTTATGAAGCCTGTAAAAATCTATCTTGGATCAAATTCAAATTCACAAACTCCACAAAAAGTCTCCGGATTTGCCTAAAGCTACAAAAACTCATCAAGGGTGGCACCGCCCATCTCAAACCTCACCAAAACATCGCCGTGAACTTAACCTTTACCCACGTCTGTGCGAGGGTGGCTGGCACGTCCGTGCTAAGTGAAAAATAAACATAAAAACAGAGAACAAAACAATTCTTCAAGCCATGATCCTAACAAAGAAAAAGGAAAACGACTGAATGCGAGTGTACGGTACCAAGAAATCGTTTTCAACTGCCAGGGACCTGACCCTTTGGTCCCGTCGCATTATCCGCAGAAACGGCTGGTAAACCCCGGGGATGGCGGGAGAGCACGTTGCCCCCCAAACCCACCTACCTGTCAGTGTGATCCTCTGGTCCGGAGGCACCGACAGGACGTGGCTTTCGCGCATTTTCCAAGCGCCCACGTTTGGCGGGGTTGCCTGCGCTCCCGGGACTTCGGGGGCTGCCCCACGGGCGCGACCCTTCGTTCCGAGGGACAGCAGTCGCCCTTTGTACATCCACTTCTGCAGCTTCTTCACGGTCACCGCCGGGGGTTTGAGGAAGCGGGGGTCCTCCGGGCCATCTCTGCCGCCGAGCCGTGCCGAGGACGGCCCCGCCGGATTCCCGAAGCGGCTCCCCGAGGAGCGGACGGGGTCCTTGGGGTCGCCAGGCAGGCGGCCGGGGGCCGCGGCGGCGCGGCCGCAGCCGTCCATCCCGCCTCCACGTGGCGGGGGCTCGTCCGGGTCCCCGCGCGCGCTGCTGATCCAGCTGTCGCTCGGCCACCGCTGGAGCGGAGGCCGCTGGACGCCCCCCTGAAGACTCTCGAGGCTTCGGCTGCAGGGTAGCTGCCTCCGAGAAGTCCGCTGACCGCCTCTCCCGGACTCCCGAGGAGGGGTCCAGGGCGGGGACACCTGCTGCGAAGGGCGGTCGCTGCCGCCTCGCTCCCAGCCTCCCGGGCAGGCTCGGCGGGCGGCCGCGCGGCGGGGTGACGGGGCCTGGCCGCGCGCCGGGGCCCCCGCGGGGCAGCTGCGCAGCGCCGAGCCCCCGCCACCCCGCCGCGCGCCCGCGTCCGGGGGCAGGTCCTGCATGGCCTGGATCAGCAGATAATAGGCCTCCCGCAACTGGGTCTGCAGCCTGCCGGTCTCGCGGCGGCCGCCCTCCGCCCCCGGGGAGGAGCCCGCGTCCGGGGAGGGCGGGGGCCGCCGCCCCGCCTCCGCCCCCTCAGCCTCGGCCGCCCGCCGGGAGCCGCCGCCGCCGCCGGGCAGGTTCTCGTAGTAGTCCGCGTCGTCGCGGTCGTCGTCGTCCTCCTCCCCGCTGCCCTCGGAGCCCGGCGGGGCGGCCTCCGTCCCGCCGCCGCGCGGCGCAGGCCCCAGCGCCCCCGGCCGGGCGGCGCGCCCTCCGCGGCCCGGCGCCCCAGGTGACGGCGTCGCCCGCGGCCGGCTCGGCGTCGCTCCGCCCGCGACCTCACGCGGCGGCGAGTGCGGGGCGCCCCGAGGGTCTCCCTCGGCCCCGCAGGAGGCTGCCGCCGCCGTGGTTGCAGCGGCTGCCGGGAGCCCGAGCTCCCCAGCGCCGCGGAGACCCCGCTTCTCCCGGAGTTTGGACAGCGTCCTCCTCAGAGGGTCCGCCATCGCCCTCAGCACCTAAGCTGGGCCCCGACGCAGGGAGAGATCGGAGCCCCGCCGCGGAAAGAGCGGCGCTGGCGGCGGCGGCGGCGGCGGCGACGGCGGCGGCGGCGGCGGCGGCGGCTCCCCATGACCGGTGCTGGCCCTCGCCGGCTCCTCACATACTTGGCATAACTCTACCGCGGAAAGGCGTGGGGGGGGGGGCGGGGAGGGCGGTGGTGTGCAGTGCGCATGCCCCGCAGACCCGGGCCGCCCGCCTAGTGTGTGCCGGAGGTGGGCGCCCGGCGCAGGTAGAGGCGGGGGACGCGCCCAGGGGGCGGGGCGGGGAGGCCGGGCGCACGGAGCTCAGGGGTGCACGGGAAATGGACGGAACGGGAAGGTGAATCTGGGCTTAGCGGCTGCTGGGCTGTGATTGAACCCTAGGGGAAAGGGAAAGGGTCTTCCGGGCCGCCACCCTCGCACCTTGGCCAGCCCCTGCCCGGGGCCGCCGGCGCGCCTGGTCTCAGGCAGAGCAAGTCCCGGCTTGAGGGGGAACAGCCGTTGTTGGACGGGCCGAGCGTGCGCGCAGGTGGCAGCACCGCCGCGCTCTAGAAACGCGCGGGTCATTTGAGCCGCTTCCACAAACGACTGACGAGGAACCTTGCTGTGATTCCTGGTCAAGAAGGACGCTTTCGGTGGTGCCGAGATCACTGACTACTCCATTAACCCAGACGTGAGACAGAGCCTCCGACCGCAGCGCCTCCCCCAAGCCTGCCCGGGACACTGCTAAAGCAAAAACGCAGGCTCGCAGGGGAAGAAGACAGAAGCTAACTCGCGAATTGACATTGAGAAGCCCAGCCCGGAGCCGGGGGGGGGGGGGCGGGGGGGGGGAGGGGGGCGCAGGATAAGCTGAGTCTGAGGACTGAAGTTCAAAACCCGTCCGGGAAGGAAAGTCCCTGAGACTCTCAGGGCAATGAACTGTCCAAAAACCAGCCGTGGAGCTGTGACTCAAGTGCTGGCGTGCCAGCCTTGAGTGAAAAAGCTGAGGGATCAAACCCCAGCACTGGCACTAAAATTAGAAGGAATTGAAGCCGGGGGCGCACGCCTGTCATCCCAGCTACTCAGGAGGCTGAAATCTGAGGATCACAGTTCAAAGCCAGCCTGGGCAGGAAAGTACTTGAGACTCTTATCTCCAATAAACCACCAGAAAGCCGTAAGTGGCGCTGTGGTTCAAGTGGTAGAGTGCTAGCCTTGAGCTGAAGAGCTGAGGGATAGCGCCCAGGCCCAGAGTTCAGGCCCCACGACTGACCAAAAAAAAATTGAGGAACATAATTTAGAAATACCAACTCTCACCCAAAAATATTAAACCCTATGTTCTTTATAGCAGTAAAACAACTGTCTTCTTGTCACTTTTCAATTGATCTGTCACTGATTGATATGAATTGGTATAAGAACCATCCCTGATTTTATAGTTATACTTTTTTACTTTTTCTATATTAAAAAGGACCTTTGTCTGAGCTATTCATAATGTGCCAACACTTAATCTGTACTTAATAGGTACTCGAGTGCACAAGAAGTACTGGCTAAATAAAAGGAAACAACTTAGCCCTAAAACTAATTTCCAGTGAAACTTCCCTGTGTAAGATGTGGTTTGATTTGCACCAAAGATTTTTATGTCTAAGTTTTATTAATACTGTCTTTATTAGTACCTAGTCTCACTGCCTCCTGGAATAATTTATCCTACATCTATCTATTTGTAGGACTCTTCCTTTTTTTTTTTTTTTTTTTTTTTTTTTGGTCGGTCGTGGGGCTTGAACTCTGGGCCTGAGCGCTGTCCCTCAGCTATTCAGCTCAAGGCAAGCGCTCTACCACTTGAGCTACAGCGCCACTTCCGGTTTTCTGGTGGTTTATTGGAGATAGGAGTCTCACGGTCTCTCCTGCCCGGGCTGGCTTTGAACCGCCATCCTCAGATCTCAGCCTCCTGAGTAGCTAGGATTACAGGCGTGAGCCACCAGTGCCTGGCCACTGTAGGACTCTTCCTTATCCTTTATATTCAACTGTCTTCTTCACAAAGAAGTCATCTCTCATCTCCCAGATAGCCATGATCTCAAGTCCTTTCAAATTCCAGTAGTACCAGCAAACCTCCCAAAGACACACACACACACACACCCCTCGGGAGTTTATTTTTACTTGTATTTATTGAGTTTTTGTTGTTGTTCCTTTGTTTTATACAATTTGTATGTATACTCTTATCGCTCTTGCAAGAAAATTTATAAATTGAGTGCTAGTGTCTCATACTTGTAATCCTAGCAATTCAGGAGGCTGAGATCTGAGGATTAAGGTATGAAGCCAACCTGTATAGAAAAATCCATGAGACTCATCCCTAATTAATCATCAATAAACCATAAGTTAGCTCCATTAGTAAAGTGCTAGCCTTTAAAGAAAAAAGAAAGGACAGTGTTCAAGCCCTAGTACTGGTACACACACATTAACTCCTTAAAGGCAGAGACCATGTATTCTCCATATAAGTGTATCATCTTCAGTATTGTATGTGAACGTTATTGAGTTAATAGTCATTTTAATTTAGAAAAAACAAATGGCTTACATTTCCAGTCCATTGCCTCACTCTCCACTAGACCATACTATATTAGTGTTGTTTTAAAATACTTCCCGTGATGAATCAAAACATAGTTGTTAAATAATCAGTTCTTACTAGGAATTGTTACATTATGCTGGGCATACATTAATATTTATACCATATTTTCATTCCATAGACCCAAGTCTATTTAATGAGTACTCAAGGCATAAAATTATTTCCCAGTGAAATATTCCCACAGGAAATGACTGATAGCAAGCTGCCAATAATGGTGTCTATAAACACAACTTGATCTCTATCTCAGAAATTGTTTCCATTCCAACTCTGTTGCAAAATCTTTTCATTCTTTGTAGTTAGCAGAGTTGTTAAGAACAGCATAAGCTGCATCTATTTATGTATTTATGAGAAGGTCACGGTTGAATTTCATCCTTAATTTTGCTCAGGATATAAGACAGTTGGTCAATGTAAAATACTATGCATTGTTATATTTATTATTCAGAATTAAGTCTGATGTAGCATACCACAGTGGAATTCTTTACAATATTCTAGCAATTCACAAGTTTAACTATATTACGGCTCACATAGAAATTAAGAGTGAAACAGTCACAGCCATGTAATACCATTTAATAACCTTAAATAAGTAAATCCTGTTTTTTGTATGTATATACCTTTAAATTAAAAATTATTAAACTTTTTAAATGACTTTTATTTAGTAACAGGTTATTTATTACATTTGATTAAAAGTTTGGCCAAGTAACCATGGCTCACCTATAATTCTAGCAAGTTAGAAGGCTGAGATCTAAGAATCTGAGTTGAAAGTCAGCCCAGGCAGGAAAGTCCTTGAGACTCTTATCTCTATTTAAAAATCTGGAAATGTAGCTCAAGGGGTAGAGTGATAGCTTTGAGCACAAAAGCTCAGGGATAACACCCCAACCCAACACACACACACACACACACACACACACACACACACACACACACACACACACGATAGCTTTGAGCACAAAAGCTCAGGGATAACACCCCAACACACACACACACACACACACACACACACACACACACACACACACACAGAGTTTGTAAACATGAGCCCAGTGCCAGTAGCTCATGTTGAGTCCTAGCTACTCAGAAGACTGAGATCTGAGAATCACATTTCAAAGCCAGCGGGGGCAGAAAAATCCAGGAAATTCTTCTCTAGCCACTAAAAAGTTGGAATTAGCAGGCGCAGGTGGCTCATGCCTGTAATCCTAGCTACTTAGGAGGATTGCGCTTTGAAGCCAGTCTGGGCAAGAAAGTCCATGAGACTCTTTATCTCCAGTTAACCACCAGAAAAACAGAAATGGCACTGAGGCTCAAGTGTGCCAGAAGTGGCACTATGGCTCAAGTGGTAGAGCACTCACCTTGAGCTGAAGAGCCCAGGGACAGTGCCCAGGCCCAAAGTTCAAGCCCCACAACAACAACAAAAGTTGGAAGTGGAGCTATGGTTCAAGTGGTAGAGAACCACTGAGTTCAAGCCCCATTGTTGGCACAAAGAAAAACTTTCTAGGCCAGGTGCTAGTGGCTTGTGTCTGTAATCCTAGTTACTCAGGAGGCTGAGATGTGAGGATCATGGTTTGTAGCCTGCCTGGACAGGAATGTTTATGAGATTTTTTTTTTCTTTGGTAGGTTGTGGGACTTGAATTCTGGACCTGGGTGCTGTCCCTCAGCTCTTCCGCTTAAGTGAGCTCTCTACTGTTTGAGCCACAGCGCCACTTCCGGTGAGACGAGTCTTGCAAACTTTCCTGCCCAGGCTGGCTTTGAACGGTGATCTTCAGATCACAGCCTCCTGAGTAGCTAGGATTACAGGCCTGAGCCACTGGCGCCTGGCATTTGTGAGATTCTTATCTCCAATAAACTACCCCATAAAAAGCCAGATGTGGAGCTGTGGCTCAAGTGGTGGAACACTATCCTTGAGCAAAAAAAAAAAAAGCTTAGCAATGGCTCCCACGTCCAAAGTCCAAG